TAGTTATAGTCCTTTATATGGAATTACATTATGTATTCTGCAAACACAGATATTTATGGACTATAACTAATTTTCAACACTCGAAAGAGTTCCCATTTCTCATTCTTGCATTTTTGCCTCTGGGAGCCTCACTCTTCTACCAGGAAGAGAGTGTCTGCGTCCACATTGGCTGCTTTCCTGGCAGGCCCAGATGCCCACGGGGAGGGTTCTGGCTGAGGAGGAGCCACAGAGCAGCCTAACATTCTAAGCAGGAAATTAAAAAGGGCACTGGCAAAGGAGTGCACATAACCTTTACAGTTCCCTCCTCCCTGCCTCCTGAGGGCCAGTGAGGCCAAGACTGCCTAATGAGATGTTTTCCTTCTTCCAGAGATAATGCTGGAGGCCCCAAGGTTGCAGGATGCAGGTGTCACTTGGCATGGGTGTCTCTAGGATACTTGGGTCCTGGTCTTTGTTCTGTATCTGACTTAGGGGAGGTCTTCCCATGAGTCACAGCACATCAGTGTCACATCAATGTCTCCCTTTGAGAGCCACAGAGAATAGCTACGGATCTGCTCCGCCTCAAGGGGATGGGGAGATTAATGAGAGACCGTTTGTCAAGTTTGCTTTGATCCTCAGTTGGAAAGAGCATTTCAGCCCCAAGTACAAGGGAGATGATTCTTTAATAAGATCTTCAGGGTTCTCAGCCAGCCACATTCACGTCCTATTTCTAACCCAGGGCAGCTCATTAAAACCCAGAGGCTAGTTGCACTGCTGAGCTGAGGTTGGGAAGTCAAGATTCGGTTGGTTTCAGGGTGGCCTCTTCTGCACACCCTCATAGGGATGGGCCCAACAAGCAAAAGCTCGTTAGAAGCCTCTGGAAGTCAGGTGCAGATGGCTCACACCTGTAATTTTAGCTACTCAGAGGCTGAGATCTGAGATCAAGGTTCAAAGCCAGCCTGAGGAAGGAAAGTCTATGAGATTCTTACCTCCAATTAACCACACACACACACACACACACACACAAAATAAATAAAGCTGCAAGTGGAGCTGTGGCTCAAGTGAGGTAGAATACTAACTACCTAGTCCCTGAGATAAAGCCCCAGGAAGAGCAAAAAACAACAACAACAAAAAACAGAATTTGAAGACATAATGGGACTCCCTGAGCTCAGACAATGGGATCTGAAGAAGAGAAGTAGCTTAGCCCCAGGATACTTGGGATACCCTGCCTGCAAGTATACCTGAAGCCCCTTCATGCTGCTCAGAGTTCTCATACATGTTTCTCATGCTTATGCCAAGAGGCAGGACCCGCTTTTGACATAGTCTGTGCACAGGTCCCTGGGCACCTGACCAAGCATGTAGCAGATGCTAAATAATATTTGTCCTATGAATGAATAAGAACCAGAGAAGGGAAGGGTCTGAGTCCAAAAGTCTAAAAATAGTAATCATTATAGCTGACATTTAGTGAGTGTTTCAGTGAGTATCCCAGACACTATGCTAAGTGCTTTGTGCTAAAAGCTTTACAAATGGTGTCGTTTAAATTTCACAACAATCTCATTATGTGAGTACTGATACAATGTTACATCTCTAGTCTACCAAGGAAACTGAAAGCACAGGAAGGTGGTAAGCAAGCAAGGCAGGAACTTGACCTCATTCTGTCAACTACAGATACTACCCCATCCTTAGGCTGCTCTGTCTGGGCTTTGGCTGCTCATACCTGTTCTCACCTTGGTACTCACAGAACAGTGCATGGTTGTGTAGAGGAAGAAGCTGTGCTCTTAAAAAATAGGAACCTCATAATGCTATATTTTTAATCTTTTTTTTTTTTTTTTTGCTGGCACAGGGGACTGAACTCAAAGCCTGGAATATGCGAAGCCAGTTTCTAGCACTGAGCCCCATAGGCTGTACCTGATGATAGTTTTGTTTATTCCTTTCTCATTATTGTAATTCATGTTTCTTATCTTACAGTCTGGTTAAGATCTCCAGTACAATACTGAATAGCAGCATTCTTGTTTCTTTTACTCATTTTATAGAGAATGTTACAATTATTTCACACTTGTTGGTTTAAGGTTATTTACCTCTATTTCAAATTTATTTTTCTTTTTTTGTGCTAAGGATGAAAATCAAGGCTCTGAGCACCATAAGCACACTTACTAACACTGAACTATTAACTACCACCCTCTACCTCCACAGTCCTGTGTTAACAGCTGTTTCTAACATTAAGTCACATTATATTCCTGGAATAAACTCAACATAGTCATAATATCCTTTAATTCACTGCTATTACTGCATTGCTAATATTTTACAGAAGATTTGTTTACAACTATCTCTATGTAATTTCTTTGTTTCATTTCTGGAATATAAATATAGGGAAGGAGAGTTTATAGAAGAACAGATTTAAGATGGGCGCTGGTGGCTCACACTTGTAATCCTAGCTACTCAGGAGACTGAGATCTGAGGACCACAATTCAAAGCCAGCCCAGGCAGGAAAGTCTGTGAGACTCTTATCTCCAATAAACCACCAGAAAACTGGAAGTGGCACAGTGGCTCAAGTGGTTGAGTGTTCATTGAGCTGAAGAGCTCAGGGACAGCGCCCAGGTCCAGAAGTCAAGTCCCCTGACTGAAAAAGAATTTTTTTTTTCTATTTCTGGTGTTTGGTAGGGCTTTCTAGTTTGAAAGTAGATTTCAAACTAATTCAGTTTCTTCAATGCTCAAAGATTTATTAAAAATTTCCATAACTTCTTGGTTCAATTTTCTTCCTTAGAAAACTGTCAAAAAACTTTTTTTCTTTTTAGTGTTGGGGACTGAACCCAGAGCTTTTGTGCAAGCTAGGAAAGCACTGTCACTGAGCCATATCCTCAGCCCCTTACTAATTATTTTTTAAATTATAACTATGTTCTATTTGACTAAATTAAGCTTTTTAAGAATTCTCAAATGCAGTTGCTTTTACTTCTCATTTATATTCATAACTTAGGGCTGGGGCTAGAGTTCAGTGCTTGCCTAGGGAGAGGTCTAGCATGCAGAGAAAATAAAAGTCTCAGTCATGTATATCTATAACCTAATTTATGGTGTTGAAAGAGTTTACACAATACTCTGGCAATTGTTTATATTTGCTTGGTGACCAGATAGGGAAAAATTTATAACTGTGTCTAAAAGTGAACATTTTCTACTTGTACCCTTTTAAAAGTACTGGGCCTGGGAGTATAGCTGTGTGGTAAGCACTTGCCTTAGTATACTCAAGGCCCTGAGTTTGATTCTCAGCACTGGGGATAGTGGTGGTAGTAGTGGTTATAAATGCAGCTAGGCTAGATAATATAAAAACTGACAGCCCAGGCTGGGAAGGTGGCTCAGTGGTAGAGCGCTTGCTTTGTATGCATGAGGCCCTGGGTTCGATTCCTCAGCACCACATAAGCAAAAAAAAAAGAAAAAACTTGGAAAAACTGACAGCCCAGTGCCAGTGGCTCACACCTGTAATCCTAGCTACTCAGGAGGCTAAGATCTGCCAGCCCAGGCAGGACCGTGAGACTCTTTTTTTTTTTTTTTTTTGGTCGGTCGTGGGACTTGAACTCTGGGCCTGGGCACTGTCCCTCAGCTCTACAGCTCAAGGCGAGCACTCTACCACTTGAACTACAGCGCCACTTCCGTTTTTCTGGTGGTTTATTGGAGATAGGAGTCTCACGGTCTCTCCTGCCCGGGCTGGCTTTGAACCGCGATCCTCAGATCTCAGCCTCCTGAGTAGCTAGGATTACAGGCGTGAGCCACCAGCGCTCGGTGACCGTGAGACTCTTATCTCCAATAAACCACTCAGAAAACCAGAAGTGGTGCTGTGGCTCAAGTGTTAGAATGCTAGCCTTGAGCTGAAGAGCTGAGGGACAGCACCCAGGCCCAGAGTTCAAGGCCCACCACCGACAAAAAAAAACAGCAACAAAAAAAACCCTGACAAATTGAGACCTTTGTGTGTGTGTGTGTGTGTGTGTGTGTGTGTGCCAGTCCTGAGCCTTGAACTCAGGACCTAGGTGCTGTCCCTGAGCCTTTTTGCACAATGCTAGTGCTCTAACTCGAGCCACATCTCCACTTCTTTTTTTTTTTCTTCCTTCAATTTTCTTTTTTGGTAGTTAATTGGAAATAAGAGTCTCATGGACTTTCCTGCCCAGGCTGGCTTTGAACTTTGATCCTCAGATCTCAGCCTTCAGAGCAGCTAGGATTATAGGCATAAGCCACCAGGGCCCAGCCAAACTGAGACATTAAAAAAAATTTATCTGGAATGGGAAAAATTCACTAATGAATCCTGAAGGATTGAATATATTGGCAGTTGTTGATAGGATTTGTTGCTGGGAAAAGAAATAAAATAGGGTTTGGAAAAAAATTTTGTGGATGCTGTCTTCTAGGCTTAAATTCTTTGTGCCTCAGTTTCTAACGCTGTAAACTGCAAATAATATTGTTATCTATCCCATAATATTCTTATGAAAAATATTGTAGTCAAACCTGATTCGGAGTTCAATTAAGGGATCAAAAAATATTCACCACTGTTGCTAGAATTATATGACACAGCGTTTCTCCCTTACAGGAGAGAAGGAATGTTTTTCAATAAAATCCCCTGAACTCTGTGGTACAGTACTTTAGTGCCCTGAAGAATCAAAGCTAGGAGAACCTTCCCTTTGTTCAAGGTAGTATAGCCCAGCTGCAACCAGAAGCTGTAGAGAAATGAAAGGACGTAGCTACTCCATTCTCTTGAGTAGGGGCCCCAGGTCTCTAGTTCTAGCTTGAAGGGCTGGGGATGGGGGAAATAAATGTCCTCCTCACTCACGAGCAGGGGGTACCTTTCACAAACCCGATGTACAGAGAGCTGGATTCAAACGTGCGGGCCCAGCGTAGGTCCACATCGCCTATACACATCGTGTACGGAAGTGCCCACCCCGAACCAGTCCCGCACAAAAGAGGGCTGGCTCCAGCTCCCGCGTGAAGCAGGTGGGTCCGCGCTTCCCAGCGTGTGAGGCTGGGGTCGACCAAAGGCCAAAGCTTACCCTTCGTCTGTTCCCGTCGCTGGTGTCGCCGCCTGCTTGCGGGTTCCTCCGCCACAGACGTGAGACCACGGCCCCTGAACGACACGCGCCCCACCTTCCCCCTCCGCGCCAATCTCCTTCCGGCGCTAAGCGTTTAAAACTAGCCGGTCGGCCCTTCCGGGCTTCCCATTGGTCACCGTCCAGACCTCTGATTGGTTGTTTCCTAAGAAACCATTAAAAAAAAAAACTCACAGTTGAGGTGCGCCTGCGCACTCCCTCCTCGGTTTACTGGAGTTTGCGAGGCTTGTCTCCCGAGCTTGAGTGAGCCGAGTGCGCTACAAAAACAAGACCTGGCTGGTTGGCATATGGGGTGGGAGTACGGTGCCTTCACCGTACTGTGTGTGGGGGCGGGAGTGCCACTTCTCTGTCATTGCTGGTATTGGTTCATTGCCAACTCCTGCAACCGGACTGTAAGGTGGGCTTATTTATCCAGCACTGGGGCTTGAATTCGAAGGCTTGCACTACTCAAGCAAGTCCTTTACCATTTAAGCCACTCACAGTGCTGGACAGGTTTTTAAACCTACCTTTCCTATGGCCTAAGTGACACATGCATATTTCTAAGAGGGGATTCTCAACTACTGACTGGCATCCCTTCCTACTTCAGGACTATTTCCTGACTGATTGTGGTACATATGAGGGTTGGCTTGTTGTGCTACCAGTGGACAAGGTCTCAATCCTCCAAAGCTGCCCTCTGCTTAGATTCTGATGTGCCAGTCTCATGCTGATTTGCAACTGCTAAAAGAACCTTGCACGGGTATTGGGAGTTTCCAGTCCTGGCTCAATGGGTAACTAGTGCTGATACTTGGGCTCTCTTGAGGGTCAGATTCCTTATCTACAAAATGGAATAAATATTCTGCCCTACCTGGCCTGATTGTTCATACCTGTAATCCTAGCTTCTCCAGAGACTGAGATCTGAGGATCAAGGTTTGAAGTTATCCTGAGCAGGAATGTGATAAGACTTATTTACAATTTACAAGCAAAAAACTAGAAATGGAGGGAGGTATGGCTCAAGTGGTAAAAGTCCCATCCTTGAGGGGAAAACACAAGCAAGAGCACAAGGCCCTGAGTTCAAGCCCCAGTACCAATGCATACTCACGTAATTATTAATATCATCCAGAAGGTAGGAGTAGGGTGACCAACTGCCTCCGTTTGCAGGGCTGGTACTGAGGAATTCCATAGAATACAGGACTTTCAGTTTTAAAACTGGGACAGTCCTGAGTTTGGTCACCCTGAGGAAGATAGGGGATGAAGAACATCTTCCATGCAGGCAAGAAAAGAAACAAAAAAGGGCACAGGTGCAGGGAAACTTGTAGATTTTTATGGTGGAAAATTGATGAAGTCTTCCTCTTGTGACTTCTGGCTAATCTATGAGGTAGGAAATGGGTCACCCATTGGATAGACAGTTTCACACTATCTCCTGCCCTTGAGGGGCCTGACAGAATAGGTACTCAATAAATATTGGCTAAAAGAACCAGTGAACAAAGGAGACTAGGGTAGGTGTCACAGATGGGGTGTTTTTCCAAGTAGTTTCTAGGAAGAGGAGCTGTGTATAGGAAGGTTGTTTATTTGTTTGCTTGGTGGGAGTAGTGCTGGTGTATTCAATATTGTGGAAGAAAAGAAAAGGAAGCCAAATGGAGCAAAGGGATAAGTTGAGTTGGAGCTCTGAAGCTGGAAAGGCACTGAGTAGTCATCAGGAGAATGATGGCTGTACAAGGGGAATGGGCTTTTGAAACCCCCATGTCACATGCTCAAGCAAACTCAAGTATGGAACATGCAGGAATGTGTTTCCATAGCGCAACCCCTTTGAACAATGAACAGTTTAACAAAATGAGTATCAGGAAGTTGAAACATATCTTGTCTGAGGGGAATGAGGAATAAGTAAGGGTGGGGGGGGCAGATGAATTGAGAGAGGAAGGGTGGTCAAATACAGTCATAATATTCAATGTGCATATGTGAAAATGGAACTAAGAAATGAGATGAATGAAGATGGGATAGGTGGGGCGAATGATGGAAGAAGTGACAATGATCAAAATGAATTATATATTTAAATGGACATGTTAAATTGAAATCCCTCCGTACAACTATTTGAAAATAATAAAAGAATGGGTATTAATGAACAATCCTCTGGCCCCATTAGCCTCCGGCTGCCACTTCTCAATAACCTTCTACTCCCTTCCTGTTCCAAACATATGTAGACTTATCACTTCCACTTTATTATCACCTCATTTGTAGGATTTTAAGTTTGTTACCTGGGAGTGAGGAGCTCACACCTCCAATTCTGCTTCTCAAATATACCTTCTTCACGTGTGAAAATAACCTTATTAACAGCATCTAACCCATCACAGTTTTATCTGAGGGAGGGGGCACATAAATAAGTGCAAAGGAACCAGGGCAGAGGGAAACATCATAGTTAGTTGAGGTAGAAGACTCTGTACCCCTGAAATTTTCTCTTAATTCTTAGGGTTGTTGGGACTGTTGTGAGGGTCAGCAGAACTCTGGTGAGGCCAGAGCTGCCTTGAACATGACCACTATCTCTAGGTCTTTGCCTCTTATCTCCTCCTCTGGGGCTCAGAACTCCTCCGAGAACAGTTTTGCTGCCTCCTGGATACTTGTCCAGGATTGATTGTCTGGACTTCTCCCCCTCTGAGCAGTAAATGAAATATCGGTTACCAGGAGTGAGGCAGGAGCCAATTAACCCCTGGACCTTGCCATGGCAGATGTGTTTGTAGGAAGCTGAGGTAGAGAGCAGAACACACCTGCCTGGCTTTCCTACAAAGTCATCCAATTAGGGCAACCCCCAGTGGTGAGCCCCACTGCCCCTCTGGTTCCTATAATCCCAGAAACTGGGGTGACATTGGGCCCTTGGGCTGGCAGCCACCTGGACACAAAATGGCCTACTATTCTGTGTGGGTGAGCTCCAGGGGCACCTGTGTCACACTCCCCTCCTGGCAGGACATTACTCACTAATTAATCACACATCTCTCTAAAGGGGAAGCAGCTTAGGGAGGCTTCTTGCTTCCTTCTTCTAGTATGGACCCACCATGCTGCTTGTCCACCTTCCTTTCCAACACCCACCCAACTCTGTCCCCTGAAAAACTACTGATTGAGGAGGTTAGAGGCAGGGGGATGGAAACATATCCTCTGCTCTTGGAAAGCCCTAAGTTTGAGGAGACGGTCTTCCCTTTAGGGAAAGCCCAGCCCAAGGGTACACATGGTCCCTTCATCCTGGAAAGAACTAGAAAGAAAATTAGGCTAGTGTCTCCATCAGAGTCACTTACTGGGAGGCAGTCTCTGTTCCAAGGAACTTGCATAACCTTGGTTGCAGTGGAGATGTACCTCTCAACCCTCAAGGAGCTGACAATCTAATGAGAAAATGGTCTTTGTCTTTAAGGTCCCCTAGTCTGATGGAGACACACAACTTGCCTTCCTAATCTGATGATGGAAACACAGCCTTTACCCTCAGGGTGTCCCCAAGTCTGAGGGTAAAAAAACAGATTTTGCTCTTAGGGAACAGCTGTTTCATGGGAGAAGCACTGTAGATTCCACTGTAGCTAGGATGTTACCTAAGTGACAAGCAGCTAACATCTGGCTGTATAGAATACTCGTAGACTTGAAAAGGCAGAAAAAAGCTGGATTCTGGTGGATCACGCTTGTAATCCTATCTACTGAGGAGCCTGAGATCTGAGGATCATGGTTCCAAGCCAGCCACCACAGGAAAGTCCAAGAGACTCTTATCTCTAATAAACTACCCAGAAAAGGCCAGAAGTAGTGTTGTGGCTCAAGTGGTAGAGTGCTAACCTTGAGCCGAAGAAGCTCAGGGACAGTGCCTAGGCCCTAAGTTCAAGCTCTGGAACTGGCACCAAAAAAAAAAAAAAAAAAAAGAGGAAGTCCTTGATTGGGCTGGAGTCATAGCTCAAGTGCCTAACAAGCTCTAGGCCCTGAGTTCAAACCCTAGTTTCACCTGGGGGGGGGGGGAAGAGGAGGGGAAGGAGGGGATATGATATTGATCAAGATGCACTGTATTCATAAACTGTCATAAACTACTTTGTTGAAGGGCAGTTCCTTAATACAACTACTTAAAGATAATTTTTAGTCGGGTGCTGGTAGCTCATGCCTATAATCCTAGCTACTCAGGAGGCTGAGATCTGAGAATCATACTTCAAAGCCAACCAGGCCAAGAAAATCTATGAGACTTTTATCTTCAATTAACCAGCCCCAAACTGGAAGTAAAGGTGTGGCTCAAAGTAGTATAACGGTAGCCTGGAGCAAAAGAAACTTAGGGACAGCACCCAGGCCCTGAGTTCAAGCCCTGTGACTGACCCACCTCCACCCCTCCCTGCCCCAAAAAGATTTTTTTTAAAGAAGAAAGTGAAAGTACCTTCAATCCAGTCCCAACTGTCATATAAGCTTACTCCATGACCATGGAATAAGTTATGAATTTTCTTCAAACTCTCATTTCCTCATCTGCAAAAAATGGAGATTTCAATCCCATCTCTCAAAATGACACGATTGTCAAGTCACCAAAAAGAAAAGCAAGTAAGCCAGATAGTGAGGTACTCACTGTAGAAACGATTAACATGCTTTTTATTATAACAGAGGTCTTGGGCCAGTCCCTGTGGCCTCTGGGATGAGAGTAGAAGCCCCCCAGGTGTGGCAGCTGGGTAATTCCAGGCCAATGTGGCTATTAAAGAATCACAGGGAGCAGTGGGCAGCACTGGGTGGGGGGGCAGGAGGAGTACCTTCTAATCTAATCACTCTTCCCTTGGAGACTTTAGTTCCAGCCAGACCTGCCAGGGGTTTTATTGGGTTTGTGGGGACCCGCAGATTTCAATCTCCAGACCCCACAGGGAAGGAACAAGCATTAAGCTAATTTTATTAAATGGCCACAGCTGGTAGTTGGGGGAAACTAGGGGAGAGAAGGAAGAATAAAGGAAGTCATTCAGGTCTGTCAGCCATGACAAGGGTCCATACATGGGATCTGGCCAGGAGAGAGGCCGCCCCTCCTCCCTGCCTCTCCAGCTGAGCCAGACTAGGGAGCCAGATGTAAAACCTTGGAGTCTCCAAAAGTCTCACTACAGGGCTGCTGCCCAGGGCAGATGCTTATAAATACATCAAGCCTCTGCAGGGCTGGGCTGCCCCAATGCCAGCCTCAATTCTGCTTTGGAAATCCTAGCTCTTTATGAAATATGATATACTGGGTCTTTGGTTCGAATATTGGCATTTGTTTGTTCCTATCTATGTGATCTTGGCAAGTTATGTAACCTTTCTGAGCCTCAGTTTCCTCATCTAAAATGGATAAAGCAAGGTGAAGATGTAGCTCTGTGGTAAAGCATTTGCCTAGCACAATAAGACCTTGGGTTTGATCCCCCGCCCCCCCCCCAAAATGAAATAAAATGCATAAATAGTTTAGGAATGGTGAAGTTCACCTGTAGTTCCAACTACTTGGGAGGCCAAAGCAGGAGGTTTTGTGACCAGCCTGGGCAAGATAGCAAGGCCTCATCTCAAATATGAAAATAAATAGAATGGAAAAAATAACAGCTTCTATGTTAAAAGGCATGAGCTCATCTCCCATGGATCCACTCCTTACTCCTCACAAATCCATGAGAAAATATTCATAAAGTGTTTACACGGTGTTTAGCACAGTGAGTGTCAGCTAAGAATTAGCTGTAATTATTTAAGAAAGTCCTGTATGCATGTCATGCCTGCCCCCCCAAGTTAGAAGAAAGACTTGGCCTTGGCAAGACAATGTGTCTTGGATTCAAATGCAGCCATAAGACTTAGCAACTATGTCACATTAACCTTCCTAGACAGCAAATATACCCATCCAACCTCCAGGATGTTTTGGGGAAACCTAAGATGGCATACTTGAAAGCATTTTTCAAACATTAGAGTGATGTATAAATAATAAGAGTTATGTTTATTGAGCACATACAGAATACCTCTTGAATCCTCAAGCAAGGTAGTTCTCCTTATCTATGTTTTATTGATGAGAAAACTGAGGCCCCAGGTGAGTTGCTTGGATCATGGTCACTAGTCTTTAGTGTAAAGCTTGCTCCTTCTGACATGGCCATCATTAACTCAACACTAGTCTGAGAGGAGTGACTTGTCCAGGACCACACACAGTATCACAGGGAAGAGGCCCTAGGTCTCCTAGTTTAAGGACTGCCTGTGCTTTGAGAATGCTGGTGCCACTTTCAGCAATGCAAAAATGGAATTTTTCCATCATGGAAGATGATGTATCTGAGCTGCTTCAATTCTAGCCCACGTGGGCTGTAGTGGGTAGCAGATCTTTTATCCTCTCTCCTCCTAGAGTAGCTCTGACTCTGGCATCTGGTTGTCTCCAGAAGCTTACAACAGACTTCTTTACCAATCTAGAGGGCATGGATCATGGTGCCCTCTTGTATTCCTCCTCAGGGTACATACTGAAACCCCTGCAGGATGGAAATCTTTTTTTTTTTTTTAATTATAACTTTGATCAGATGGAGCCCAGTTGGCCAGAGTTTTTCCAGTGCTGGGAAGCTACCACCTCCCATCTACCCCCAGGAAGGGCAGCTTATCTCAGTGCAGGAAACAACATCCACACATACACACCCTGCCACCCCTATGCTAGTGCTAGTTAGCAGGCTAGGGTGGGCAATAAATGGTCCTATTGTATAAACATATAGGGCAGGCTGCGGCCCTGCAGTCATCCTGCCTCCAAGGGATCAGGACATCTACTGCCAGCGGCTTTGTAGTGGGAATGCCTAGCTATAGCCTAGGTGGTAGTAGGGTAGCTGGGGGCTTCTCAGCCAGGTAGGGCTGGTGGCCAGGGTCAGACAGCCAGGAGTGGGTAAGGGATGGGTTAGTGTCTGCCTCTCCTGGGAAGGGATCCTGGGGGATGAAGAACAGAGGATGGAGAGCGATGGGCAGGGCTCAATCAGAGTAGATGATGAAGCCGGAGAAAGTGCTGTATTTGTTGCTGTTGCCGCCATGTGCTTTGCCTCCATCGAGCTTGATGAAAACCTCATCACCTGCATCCAGGTGCAGGATCACGCTGTTGCTGGCGTAGTCGTAGTTCTGGTCTGCGTCCTGGGCAATGGCGCTGGCCCGCACCTGCCGGGTGGGGTTGGGGCAGGAATGGGTAGTGGGGCAGTGAAGGATAGGAGATGAGAGGGGAGGGAGGTAAGGTGACCACATGGCAGGGAGCTTCAGTCCCTTCTGGAAGCTCAGCCTGCTTCTCCATGACATTCTTACCCCAACCCCTCCTAATATACACAACATGTTTGGGAAACAAATAGAGAAGCCTTAGATTCTAGTGCAAGGTTCATCTGGGTCTGAATTCGGAGTCTAGATAGATCTTCCTCAACTACAGTGGGTCTTCCCATCTGGCCTTCTGAGAACCTCAATACCTCCTCTGATGGCCCAGCCTGGACGTCCTTCCCTCTCTCCTCAGCTTGCCTTCCTCTCTGCTTTAATAATAATGATGCCACACCCACCTGTGCTTCTATCTGTGGATAAACAAAAGGACGCATCTTAGCTCCACAGGTCAAGCAGCTGGTCCAATACTAGGCTTCTAGTAAGCTACCATCCCAGAACCAGGACTGTTTGCAGTAGCTCAAGGCTAGTGCTCTACTTCTTAAGCCACAACTCCACTTCTGGTTTTCTGGTAGTTTATTGGAGATAAGCGTCTCATGGACTTTCCTGCCCGGGCTGGCTTTGAACCATGATCCTCAGATCTCAGCCTCCTGAGTAGTTGACAATAGCCTGGTGCCTATTGTCACTTTTAGCAGCTCTATCACAAGATGTTAAGGATATGTGGTGATGGCTGAATTACCTATGGACATTCCTCTCAAACAGTTAAGGCAATATGATGCCTCAGCCTTAGTATCTGGGACTATGGGGCTGGGAAAGTGGCTCAGTGGTAGAGTGCTTGCCTTGCAAGCATGAGGCCCTGGGTTCGATTCCTTAGCACCACATAAGCAGAAAAAGCCAGAAGTGGCAATGTGGCTCAAGTGGTAGAGTGCTAGCCTTGAGCTGAAGAGCTGAGGTACAGCGCCCAGGCCCAGAGTTGAGGCCCCACAACCGACAAAAAAAATAGAAAATAAAGAATCTGGGACCTGCCCAGGATATATCCTGGATAGAGAAGAGGAGTAGAGCCATCTCCTGGATCATGGCTTGTGGTGAGGGAGATTGCCCAGAATAAAGTTCTCAGCCAGGCTTCCCCTTTACACATTTCTAACCTGCCCCTTTCTCTGAAGGCAGTTCTCCATCCTGCTGCCTAGCCTAGGATTGAGGTGTCCACTGAACCAAGCCAAATTAGGGGAAGAGCCTATTCTCTCTGTAACTCTGGAGGCAGAACTGTAGATCATCTGGGCCAAAGATACTGACTCAGCAGTAATGCCACAAGGAACAGGACTCAACGTATTTGTAATCCTCCCCTGCAAAATCCCAAATCCTTCCAGCCCTTGGTCTCCCCTCAACACCTCCTTAAATCTTGGATGGAGTATTTGGTTCTATTAGCTGGAAAATTCCTAGTCCAGCTAAAGATGGGAGGGAACAAAATGAGGGAAGAGTCCTTGTCAAGGTCAGGTTCTTTGTCTAGAAAGATGGACCAGAACTTATCTCACAACTTTCACCATTACAAAACCGTTTGGATGGCAACGAAAAGTAAAATTTCAATCTTGCTGTGTCTTTGAGCTACTTAGTAAAGAGCTGAAAGCAAGCAGCCAACTTCTGTATTGTTCCCTGGGCCCTAATCCTGGTAGTATTTATTATAATACATGCATTTCATTATCTTTGCTAATAAATTACTACTAATAACAATTATTTTTATTACCCAGATTAATTTAGCCTTAACTCATTAAAACAGTGTGCTCCTTAATAGCCAAAATCCATTAGAATATAGTCATCTGTCATCAGGAATCTCCTGGTGATGTGACAGGCATCAGAACTGTTATGCTTGTTTATTATTTATTCATCACCATGATTGTTGCTGTAATTATCCTAATTATCCATGGAGGCAGGGAGAATTTATGCCCTTCCATCCTCAGACAGTAGGGGATCCAGGAACAGAACCCAGGGGTCCCAATTCTCTGCCCAAGACTGGAAGTGAATGAAGCGTCTGGTTCTTCCTGGGAGCCTAAGGGAAGGTGGGAGAATTGAGGTTGCCATGGAAGCAGGAAAGCGGGTCTGTGATCATCACGGGGAGTCGGGGGTAAAGGGATGAGGGGTGGGAGAAAGAGAGGCCAGGGCAGCACTGTCAAAATATCTCCAGTTGCCAGGAGGGGAAACTGAGGCAGTGGTCTGACCAGAGGAGTTGGGGGAAGAATGTGTCCTTGTCCCAAATTGAGGCTATAGGTTTGAATACATAGGTATAACTCCCATAGGCAGCCAGCCTGGTTCCTGATGGACACTTGTGTTTTCACAAATTGGCCAAGCACTGTGCTCTGAAAGACAGCAGTCAGTAGAGGCTAGAATCCTGACACCAGGTAAGCAGGTGATTGCCAGTTAGGTCAATTTATACCTTAATTGGCCCCTGTTGTCCAAGCCCTTGCCGATTTGGACAAGGGCTTCCCCAGATCCCTTCCCCCTTTGCCAAGCAACACTTTGGCCACAAGCTCTGGTATCTACCCCAGCCCAGTTTATCAATTTTGTATACACTCTGACTCCTTGAAATATGGAGGTGGCTTTGGACAGCTCAGTTTGCCCATAACACTGCCCAACCTAAACCCCTTTCCTCAGGCTCCTCATGTCCTAATGACCAGTGATTGGGGCCAGCAGATTGTGGGGTATTGACACAAAGCTAATCCCAGGGAGAATGGTCAGTGAACCTCAGACAAGGAATCTCAGCACTAGGCATGAAGATGGCAACTTCCCTCTCCAAATGGTCTTGCCCCAAGAAAAAAGCAGATTTGACTGCCTTCCCAAAGAACTTCTGGAATCCTCTGTGCAGAGAGGAAGCCAGGCACACAAAGCCCATGGTAGGCCCTGATCTGAAAGACATGGGAGATGCAAACTCCCCTTTTCCATTCCCACCCATTGTGCAGCCCTGTCATTGTTTTCTTCACTTACTGAAACGTTCTCTTTCACGTCTGAGCCATTTATATTCTCCCTACACTTGACTGTTTATTTTTCTCCCAAGCTGTGGTTCCTCACCTATAGGCCAGCTTCACCATCATCCTTTCCCCACTGTCAGGTTGGTCTACACATGTTGAACCACTCTTCCAGCCTACCTATCTTGGGGATAAGAATGACTTGGGCTCTCAGTCTACCTTTACTCATTGGGGTGTGTTATTATACTAGTGCTGTTCCTACCTACGTAGGCCTTGAAGTCCTACTGGGCAAATAGGACTAAGCCTCAAATCTGGTTCTTAGTAGGGCTCCAAACTAATGTGGAATGACTGGTAGGGTCAAATGAGCCCATGGGCACCTAGAAGTCACAAAGGGATGTGAGAGATAAGACTGTAGGTCCCATTGTTGCTGTTGGGTTTTTGTTTGGAGAGAGTGGTCCTGAGTAACATGTCTCATTGGAGGCTTGGCGCAGCAGTAGTGCCTGCCTAGGAAGCCTGAATTCCTGAGTTTAAACCCCAGGACCACCAAGGGAAAAAACCAAGCTTTGTAAATACTAGCCAAATCCATCTTTTTCTAGTAGCCTGTGGTCTTTCGTCTTGTGAGTCCCCTTCATCAGATGCTGCTTTTACTGCACAGTTTCTACTACAGGGCAAAGAAGGGGTTCTGGGAACAATTTTACCTCCTAGTAACTAAAGTGGCATCACCCCAAACATGCCATCTATGAGGCCTCCTCTTGCTTCATCTCTCAGGCTGTTTTTCTCCCCGAGGTAGTACAAGATCTAGGGCCTAATGATGGCCTATTGATTGCTTCCCTATCCAGACAAATCCTCAGGCCCTAAAACCTCAGGTTTTAGCCAGCTCAAACTTTGGGGCAAGAAAGAAATTCCATGAATGAAGGTGACATTGCTGCATCCCTTATTGGTGATTAATAAGGGGAATCATGGGGCTGTCTGCAGAATGAGTACTTGCTGGATACTGGAATCTCCCATTTGATCAGGAAGCAAGGACAAAGAACAGAGATACCAGGAAGCCTGATACAAGTGAAAAAGAGACACAATCATTAACAAACAGAAGGGTGAGGGGTGGGGAGGGGGTTAGACCAGAGGAGAGACACTAGAAAGCCAGTGAGAGACATACAGGATTGTCAGACACAGGAAGGAGATAGACATGAGCAGAAAGGAGAGACAGAATTGAGAGGGTGCGGGAGAAACCTACAGGGTAGAAGAAAGAGAAAAAGGGATAGATTCCACCCACAGGTTTTCTATGTATTCCTATCCCCTTCTCCAAGCTTAATAGACCCCAAAGTAAGCAGACTCTCAGGTTAGTGCTGATGGTGGGAGGGGTTCCAATGTCTTTGGTCTCAATGGCACTACCTCTCACTAGCCAAGATTTAGTCTGACCTGACATCCCTCTTCTACTAGAAAGCTCATGATGACCACGCCCCCTGGCGCTCCCAAGCCACCAAGATCTGGGAGCACTAGGAAGGAAGGTTGAGTAGCCAGAGACCTAGGTAGGTTTGTCACTCTGGAACAGGGTTGGGTCTTTGTTGGTCCCCGACTGGGTGGTTCTGAGGAGAGCGCTGCGCATAGGCAGTCCCAGGATCAGAATCCTGGCGCAGTCTAGGGAACAGTCAGGATCACCACATAGTAGGCTCAAGGAGGACTTGGACCTGGAAGAGTTTCCATCTCTTCGCCCCGCCTCTGGAAGAAAAACTTTTCCCCGGAGGCTGCCTTCTTGCGCTAGGTAGCTCTGGAGTGGGAAGCAGCGTTGCATTCTCGGATTATGCAGAATGTCAGATCAGTCAAAAAGTCCCTTCTCCTGGGCAGGCGATTTACTGCAGCTAAGGTTTCTGCGCCCAACTCCCTCTCTGCCTTTGTGCCCAAAACATTTCCTGCCATCCGCCTTCTCCGCCTGTGCGCACCCCACGCGTCTAAGCGCCCTCGGGCGTAGAGTCTGCTTCTCCCTAGCCGGTACCCTAGAGCTTTGTTCTTCCCTAAATCGCCCGTTGGCGTCAGCTTGAATCTGAGCTCTCAGTTGGTATGGCCAAAATCTGCCTGCCCAGAGCCAGATCGCGCGCCCGGGAGCCCTGTGCTCTGGCTTGGTTAGGTTATAATCTCCCCCATTTCCGTCCCGCGGTGCCCATCAGTATCTGCCTTAAAGCTAGCACCCTGAAACCAAGGAGTTACGGGTGCCCGATGATCGCTGATGCTTAAGGGGACCACTTTGGAGCTTCCATCTACGCCTGCCTGCAGGGCCCGTCGATTCCCATCGGGTACGCACTTGCCCCAGGCTCCCTAGGTGCCCTGCCCCCAGGCCAGCCCCATCCCCCGTCCTGGCCCACCTGGCCGTTCTTGCAGAGGTCTGCCCACATACTGGTGCCGTCGCCGCCGCGCATGAGGACGTGGTAGGTGAAAAAGTAGGTGCCGGGAATGTTGCACGTAAACTTGCCGCTGGTCGCGTCGTAGTTGTTGCCTAGGTTGGTGACCACATCGTCAAACTTGAGCACCTCGTAACCCTCGTGAGGGTTCTTGAGGCCAGCGTAGAAGGCCACGCGTGGCACCGTGGTGTAGGTGGCCGTGCTGATGGCGCCGCTGCCCCCGGTGCCCGGCAGCCCGGGAGGACCTGGCTTTCCTGGCTCACCCTTCTCCCCGGGCGGTCCCACGGGACCCGGAGGACCCGGGTTCCCGGGAGGCCCGGGGGGACCCGGCTTGCCTGTACGGCCCGGCTTCCCCTGGGGGCCCTGCACCAGCGTGGAAGGCGGGGGCGCGCCGCTCTGCTCGCTCAGGGCGTCGCCGCCGTC